ATTGAAGTTCATTTTTCTGAAAAACAAACTCTGAGGAACTTATACGCAAAAAACGAAAAAAATTTTATGATCTGAACATCCTCAATTTTTAATACAAAATCACACAAAAAGAGCAATTTAAAAATGAGCTTCAACTTCACATTTCGGCAAATCTCTCGACAACGACGCTACAGATCAGCATGAGATAGCAGTGGATCGATAGCTACAAATCTGAAGAATCAAGTGGTGTCGAAAAACCCGCAGATTTCCAAAAATAAATCAGCTAAACAATGCCTGTTGTGAACGTAGGTCACAACTTCTAATGAGTTGCCAACCAATCTGACTACTGGAACTCTCATCCTGCCACGAAAAAATTTTCGCACCAAATTGAATAAGAAACGGATTATATGTAATTTAGCGCTTAAGATTCCTAAACTTTCCTTTATTATTGACATACGATTCGATTTTACACAACTGCTCTATTACAAGTCCTACATCAGCAACTATTAAATTTATGTTATCTAAGTAGCAAACGACACAATAATCTTTTACAGCAATCTTATTTGTGAAGTGTTTAGAGCGAATTGGTTTTAGAATAACGTTGGTTCGATTTAAAGCAGTAAAAGACTTGGATTTTCAAGGCTGCTTTTTGAAAGAGTTAAACTATGTTTTTTTTTATTCAACCGGTTTAGAAAAATACATAAAATTAAATCGAATCTACCAGCAATAATTTTATTCAAAATTTTTGTTTATTTTTTTAAAGTTCTTTTTCACTTTTATTTCTCAAACGATTGTAAAAGCAACAGAAAGTTATGCGTGGTCATTAGCACACTTCTGCACTAATTTGGTTTTTTCACTAAAATCCTGACTATTTTATCAATTGCTTTTAAAAAAGGTGTAATAAAAAAATTTCAACTAGATTTAAAGATTTTCTAATAGTTTGTTCTTTTACTCAGTAAAAAGCAAAATACTTTAAATTTGCTCAAGTATTTTACCAGTTTTTAGCATTCTTTGAGTGCTAACAATTCTATTAGTCTCTAGTGATTCCATGACATTATTTTTTGCTCATCCTCCAATTTTGTCGCTTATATCTACAAGTGGTGCAAAAATAATTTTGCTAATACATGATTTCTAACATACATTCAGTACATCAAGTAAAAATACGACCGGAAAGTGATATTGATAATCACAACAATGTTGCAAAAATTCGTTATTTCTTACCATTATGTTTTGAGTGCCATCCACAGTGAAGCTTACGAGAAACAAGTTTAAACTTGTTATAAAATAATGACTTAGAATAAGGAAAAAAAATTATAGTATCACTGAAAAACAGTGAGCTTTCTTCTGACGCAATTGCTGGCAATTTAAATATTGATATAACAAAGAACCCAAGAGTTTTCATAAGCAAAAAATACAGGAAAATGCAGGTAAAACATACGACATAAAAGATGTGAAAAAGAGAAGCAGCATAAGACAAGTGTTTTTTCTATAAAAAATCAGCGTATCAATGAAATGCTGCCATTAAAGCAACTTTTATCTGCTGTCACCAAGCTTGTTCTCTTTCAAAAGCAATGTAAAAATACTTTGTCTTCTCGTTTTCAAACCTTTTGTATAAATTAGCAACTATTCTTTTTACTTGAAAAGTCTGGTAAATTTCTCAGCTGACACTGTTGCTTTTTTCAGGTCTCGACTACCACTTCTGTGTGTTTTTAATAACGTTCTTAAATCACTGAAATGGCTTCTGAGGATGCAGAAGTTAAAGAAAGTCTCTTGAGCGGTTAGTGTTATTTAAACTAGTTACTTTCTTTTGTTATCAAATTAATTTAATTTACAAAACGTTCCAACCAGTTAATAAGCAGTTTATAATTAAATTTTTTAAACAAATCACATTGTCTATAAACCTAATAGCATCTCTGTATTAGGGTTTCAATCCTGGTTGCTACAACACAGTCACTAAAAGTGGTTGGCACTATATTTTGAAAAAAATCCGAACATAGTGCAAATTATTATATTTTTCTGGAAAACGTAGTCAACAAATTAACGTAAATTCCAAGGCTGAAACCAATATATTGTCGTAGAGTCTTACAGAAAAATTTACTCTGACCCAAATTTGTAGTTATTCGAATTCAACGTCTGTTTGAACGTTCTCCAACTTTCGATAAAATATCTGTTTAGATAATGCTGAAGAAAGAAAAAAAACTATAGAAAGGCGACCAGATATTCAAGGCTTACGCGGACTTGCTATAACATATGTGGTTATTTACCACTTGTACCCAAAACTGTTTTCTAATGGTTTCCTTGGCCTTGATATATCTTTCGTTATTTCTGGGTACTTGATAACAATGGTTCTGTGGAACCAGCAACCAATAACCCTGGCAGTTTTTCTAAATTTTTACAAGAAACGTATAAAAAGAATATTTCCTGCATATTACACGATGATTTTACTAGTTCTCTTGTTTGCATTCTTCTTTCTAACGATAAGAGACTACTCCCTGTTAAAACGCGACACTATTTGGGCTGCTCTATTTGCAACCAACATACACGAGAACCTACAAGGCCTGAACCACTCTGCTGAGGTACATTCAGTGATTTGTTCAATAAATTTTTGTTTAGCAACTTGCATCTGTCAACACTTCCGCATTTATTTTAAACTGAAATTTCCCTTCACAAATCTAAAAATCTCATTTGTTACTCTACAAAAGACTCAGAAAAACTACCTTACAGATATCCAGCTACGATTTTTTACTGCACACTTGGCCATTAGCAGTTGAAATACAATTTTATTTCCTTGCTCCAGCATTTGTGCTTTTTTTCACAATTCCGTACACTGGGAAGGCTTTATGGAGCGTAACATTTCTGGTTTCCATTTACTGCAGCGTTGCGACTACTGGACCGTTTCAGCTTTATTCACTCGCCAGCAGAATGTGGCAGTTCATATGCGGTGGAATCGCTTTTCATTCCGGTTAGGAATGATACTGTTACCAGGCGAACAGTCTAGAGCTTTATTGTAACTAATACTTAAAATAGCAATATTGATGGAAAAATGGAAAGCTGAGGAAGTGTAAATTATGATTTTATTATGTTCTGCAGGACTGAAGTGTACGTGGCTTCTTATAGCAGCTTTAATCACACTGTCACCGTTCATTTTGATGTTGTCGTTGGAAGAGGTTGTTCTCCGCCTTTTGATAACATCTGCCACAATGGTAGTTGTTTCATCAGAGAGTTCGCTTACTAATGAATACATTCTTGGAAATTCTTTCATGCGTTTCATTGGTGATATATCCTATTCCGTATATCTTTATCACTGGCCGCTTATACTGTTTGGAAGGTATTTGGCAGAGGACAATACGCTAAACTTTCGAGGTGTCCTACGAGGATTTTGACTTTTGAAACATTGCTTGTGTCACCAGAATGAAAAGGTAACCCCTTCAAGTTCAGGCGAAATTGTAGCTGTACAGTTCTTGGTTATACTTGGAGTAGTTTCATATTGGTATGTCGAAAAGAAATTTATCCAATGGAATTTCTCCTGCACTCTTTGGCTGCTTGCTGTTCTTGGCAGTTTAATATGTGTGGGATTCGTAATACCAAAAACTCGCGAAAGACAGGATTTGCCGATTACTTCAGATAGTGCTTGGGACTTCAGAAATGAAAATGCGACAAGCTACGGTAGAAGGTTTTTTACCTCACTTTGTCAAACTTAAAAAGAAAAAGAAGAAGCTGGTGAAAATTTAATTTGCGATACTTATTTAAGATTCTTTCGCTCAGCTAATCGAGCATTCACTGATGCAATTAATGTATGGATTACTAAGCAATAAAGATGTTCACTACTGTTAAAAGTATTTAAATTTTTGGGGTAAAAGTTCACAAAATTTTGTTTATTTTCTCATTTTAATTTGCAGAAGCAAAGTGCTATCAGTTCCACGATACTTCCTATTTCCCAACAAACATCACTGATTCGGTACGACTGAAAGCAATCGAGGAAAATAAGTCTTTTATGAAAGCATCTATGCCAGTGTATAAAGTGGAGAAGAATTTGATCGATCCGTTGCATGAAAAGTACTTTGTAGAACCCAAAATAAAAATTGGGTTTCACGATTATTTCAAGGTGTGAACCTACTGTTAATTCTTTAGTTTACCGGGAAAAACAGGTTATACATGGTCCATTGTTGTATTTAAGAGAAAGTAGTTTCAGTTTTTTTGCTTGAAAAATGTTTTTCAACGTAACTGTTTTTTTCTTCTAGGGAATAGGCCAATGGTCTGTAGCAGTTGTCGGAAACAGCTACGCATTTTATGCCTTTTCTGCTGTGGTGGAAGCTGCTCATAAAAACGCAAAGGAAATACGCCTTTTAGCTAACCATCAATGCCTACCATTTTTTGATGCCTGGAAAGGAGCTCCGAGTCTCCCTCTTCAAGAACAGTGCTCTATATACTTTGACACTACTGTCGCTCTTCTCAATGAAATGAAACCGGATATAATTATATTGATCTTCAGGTAACTAGCATGTTGACTGCTGCAGCTATGCAACTGCTGAAGGTCAACACTTTTTTTTAATTTAGTTTATCAAAACAGTCTCAATGAATGACGGCTTAAGTTAAACTGTCAATATTTTAGATTCATGCAAAGAATTTGTTCTTAAAAAGGCCCGCTTTTGTGAGGCAATTAGGGATAAAAGAGTTGTTAATACTTTTTAAACTTTTGTGATAGTGAAGTGTTACCAGGCCCGAATTTGGCTTATTGAAAAAATTTGACGATTTTGAAAACGATCAGTTGCTTCAGTCAATGCAGAAGACGATTGATTACTATTCAAAGTTATGCAGAGGTGTTATAATACAGATGCCGTTGCCTCTTCCTCAAAAGTACATTATGCTGAGAGTTGCGACTCAATATACTTTGAGAAGTTCTTTGAATTTGACATCACATTGGTTTTTTATTAGTTTCTTAATATACTGTTACAATAAAACTAGGTTTAACCCTGCTCTGCGCAGAAGGCAGAAGTTAATTGCAAGTTTGTTTTTGAATTCTTTCTTCGATTCGGACTTATACTTTTTTCAAAGCCTGAAACTTACAAACTGTAGAAAATTTTAAACTTTGGTTGTCTATTAAGGATTGATACCAGTTTCATCATAAAAAGTTTGGAAAAAGGGCTCGGCTTTGAAGGAGCGTATAACGAGTTTGGCATTTTCCGAAAGCAATTTCGTTATGCGATCAGACGCCTGGAAAGTTTACACTGTGAAAATTGTGTGAAAATCTATCCGCATAGAATATTCTGTGACTCAAAGGTTAGTTTTCTAGTCGCTTTTTTTAACAATGAACGTAAAGCGACTCACAACGGACTACTTTAGAAACCTTCGAGAGGTCGCCTTAAAGATGACTTATACACCTATCGTGAGATCTTAAGGAAGTAGTACAGAGGTGCTTCCTCAATGGAGGAAATTTAACCTCCTAGTAGATATATTTTACCAAAATAAATAGTCGTCGTATTCTAATAACAGAACCGAAAAGACCGCTTAGATGGTAGCCCCAACAGTAGAGGGAGAGACAAGTGGTCTCACAGCAGCAGTATAACACTAATTTCTTAACTTGTCTTCATTACAACTCTGGATCCCTTTTTCACTATATACTAATTGCTAGCGACTTATTTATAATAACTGTGAAATGATAAAAAAATAATAATCGTGGTTTATAAGACTCATTAACAGTTATTTGACTTTGATAGTTACTAGAGTATTACCCAAACAAAGATAAATTATTTAATTTATCTTCCCAGTCTTTATCAACGGCTATTCACTAAATTTCCGGCAGATTATCAGTAATGCTGGATTTTTGAAATTTGAGCACAGCTTGAGCTGCTTGTAGTATGACCTCATTTCTTTCTTATTATTTATTCGAAGTTTTAGAATATTCTACAACGACTGTTTGGCGGGGGAACACTTTCTTTTTTGCATTAGAAGTTGTTTGTATATTGCGTCAAATTTGTTTCTTCACAGTTCGCTGACTTGTTATTTCAAAGTTTTTAGAATTGCATTTTGAGAATCATTACGATGTTCCTGTCGTTTCGTTCTTTGTTTTTTTGCTCTTTGATTCCTTTGTTATTTAGCGGCAACATTTTTCATGTAGTTTTAAACATTATCTTATTTTTCGGAACTGTCGTTAAAAGCTTCATGGAAAAATTGGTAATTTGACGGCCTTAACTGTTCTGATAGTTCATTTACGTTGTTGAGAAGAAATTTGTTCTATGAAGACATATATCTAATGGAACTAAACTTCGCTTTACATAAATTTAATGGAAAATCAAGGAAGTTTAAAAAATCTTGCCATAGGAAGAAGCAAAATTTTATGCTTTACAGTTTACTTATAAAGAGTTTTGAAAAAACGTTAGAGGAGCAGTTCGTAAAAAAAGAAGCACGAAAAACAAAGGAAGATCTTATGCCTACACATTTGTTGAACATTGTACTTTCTAATAATTGCAGATTTGCCGAGCATTTGACCCAGAAAACCTGTTTTCGTTCTACGACTTTGGTCAACATTTCAATCAGTATGCTAACAGGTGCTTCAGGAGGCTTTATCGTGACACGTTTGACGAAATGATCGTAGATTTTCAAGTAAATAAAAGCTGATACTAAAACAAAACAGAATAGCTTTTTTATACTTTCTAATTTCATTCTTAAGAAACAAAATTGGTCTACTTGCTTCCTCTAGACAGAGCAAACTTGTTCCTGTATTTGCTTCTTCAGTTGATTATAATTTGAAGTTTTTGCAGACGTTTTACACTACAAACGCCTCTGCTTTCTCCTCAAAAGTACGTATTGTTGTAAATCCTAATTTGATATGTTTTGACAAATTTTCTTGACGTTACAGTTGAATAGGTTTATTCATCAGAATACATGTATATTTATTTATTTATCTTTTTATTTAACATTAAGCTGGAGATATTCAATTATCAGCCTTTAGCCTTAATTTTCATTCGGTAACAAATATTTTTTATTCTATGTAAGTTACTGAGCCAGATTTGGTAATTTATACGTATTTTTCTCTCTTTTACAGTTTGGGTGATTGTCTTAGAAGTATTAAAGTGGTCAATTTCAAGTTTGTTTTGAAACATGAACATTTCCTGAATTTTGCAATAATAATACTATTTTCATCACGGTGGAGCTTTTGTTCTGGTCGGAATGGTACTAGTGTAAATACTTTGTACTGTATTTGAACCTATTGCAGTCGAAATAAAAAAACTGGAGCATATGTTAATGGCAATATGTAGTTTTACTGAAACTGCACTAAAAATTCAGATAAAATTGCTGAACGTGATTAATGCAAAACTTACAATGAAATTGTCATTCTGTGAAGTTTTCAGATGATATTATGTTGGGTAATAGATGTATCTCAAGTAAATTTTAGGTAAAATACAAGAAATAAAGCAGGCATTTGTATAACGTAAAGACATTAAGAGCTCTGATACTTTGAAATAAAGCTTTTTTCAAAAAAAA